CGTCAAGGCGGCATGGGCCGCAGAGGCGGCGAGAAGGGCGGTGGCGTCGTCTCGTCGAGTGCGGAGTCAGAGAGAGCGTGTAGGCGCGTTGGCGGCGGTGTCAGCGGAGGGGAGGGCGATGAGGAGGGCAGTGGCGGTGGCGGCGCCGAGCCCAGTCGCGTGGGCGGCATCGAGGCAAATAACGGGGCCGGAGGCGGCCCGGAGGGCGGCATCGGCGGCGCGGCGGCAGCGGCAACGGGCGGGAGGGTGGGCCGGCGGCGGCGTTGGGCGAGGCGGCGGCGCGGGTGGCAGTGGCCGGGGCGGCGGTGCGGGTGGGCGGGAGGCGGCCGCCGACGGTGGGGGTGGCGGCCGGGCCATCGGCGGCAGGCGGCGCGGCGGGTGGGGCGGCAGCGGGGCACCAGGAGATGGTGCCGTGGGCAGCGCTGCGGGGAAGGGAGCAAGGGGCGGAGGGAGGGAGGAGGGGGGGGCGGCTCGCCTGCCGCCCTCGAGCCGCGACAGCCGGTGCCGTGGCCGGCCCGCCTTCGAACGTGAAGGGGGGACGGCCTCATGCCGCCTCACCGCGCGACGCGGCGGCCGGCCGCCACCTCAAAGGAGGCCTCTCGCGCTCAAAATACGTGCGAGGCACCTGCCGAAGGGGGTGGGGTGGTCGGGCGGTCTAGGGGAAGGCGTCTCCGGTGGGTGGGCGCCGCTCCTACAGCGCGCGGGGCGGGGAGGCCGACTGCGGCGGTGATACGGTCGCGCGCGCGGGGCGTGGAGGGCCAGGGAGGTGGAATCCGGGGCGGCGGAACCTTCCGATTTTTTGCGGCTTTAATTAGCCCGAGGCTGGCCGGAGAGGATTGACCGGTCCGATTTTTGTTTTTCCGCTGCTCCAGCCGGCCAGCCGTGCCTACGGCGAGAAAAGGAGCGTCCGACCCGGTCCGATCTCGCGCTCCAGCGGGAACGCCGAGCGCCTCGGACGCCAAGCGGAAACGGCGTTCCGAGGCGGGGCGCGGTGGCGATCACCGGTCGGCGCCTGCGCGGCCGGCCGGCCCGGTGGGTCGCCACGGCACATGCGCCGCGCGCCGTCGCCAGGCCCCGCCGCCGCCCCGCCAGAGCAGCGGCGAGATGGGAGGCGGTCGGCGGGTACCATCGGCTCTTCGAGCGAGCTTTCAGCTCACTTTGACGACGCTAGGAAAATCAATTCGTGGAATCCAGTTCGAGATGCAGTGAGGCGGAGCCTACCCTGACCCGCACTTTTGCATGGTTTCGCCCCCGGGACAACACCGACAGCCGCTACAACTAATGAAAACCCCGCATACCACTTTCGCGTACCACTATACCATACCACTCCAAAACTAATCAAAATATCGCCAAATACCGGTCACGTGTCATACCGGTATAAAGATCGAGCACTGCGGTGTCAGAGTGAAATGGCACTAGCCGATAACACTTTGTGTCATATCAGTCAAATGACAAATCGTGCGCCGCTCTCGTTTTGATTTGACGGAGGTTTGGTCTCCGGGTCTAGGACATGAAAAAGAATTGACGAGGCGGAAGGAAAGAAATCGAAACTGGCTGTGAGAATCGCCCGCCTCGCGCGCGCCTGGCCCGGCGCCGCCCGCTAGCGGCGCTTGCCTGCCCCGACCCTCCGACCGCGTGCTGACTCAGGCGGCAGGCAGGTACATCTTGGACATGTCGCCGATCGCATGCTCGAGGTTGTCGGCGGTGGCCGGGTCGGACGACTGCTTCGCCTGCGCTCGGAGGAGGGGCAGGGGTGTGGGTGGTGGTGGTGGTGTGTGTGTGTGTGTGTGTGTGTGTGTGGTGGGGGGGGGGGGGGGGTCCCTCGAGCCGCAAACTGCGGGGCGGGAGGAGGAGGAGGAGGAGGAGGAGGAGAGAGGAGGAGGCAGAAGAGAGGGGGAGAGGGGAGTGGCAGTGCGAGGAGGAGGAGGAGAGTCGGCGCTGCGGCCGCCTTCATCGCGGCTGTCATGACGACGTGGTGCGCCTACAGGTTCGGAGAAGGTTCGGAGAAGGTTCGGAGAAGGTGCGAGTCCTCTCGGTTGTGCCTCGGCAACTTCTCGGCTCTACATCTCGGCTCTACATCTCGGCTGCATCTCGGCTGCATCTCGGCTGCATCTCGGCTGCATCTCGGCTGCATCTCGGCTGCATCTCGGCTGCATCTCGGCTGCATCTCGGCTGCATCTCGGCTACATCTCGGCTGCATCTCGGCTGCATCTCGGGGCGGTGTCTCGCCTTGAGTGCGTCCATGTAGTCGGTCTCGCTCGTGAATGGCGAGCCGGGCGCACCTTTGCGAGAGGGGTGGCGAGGGTGGGGGGCGAGGGTGGGGGGCGAGGGTGGGGGGCGAGGGTGGGGCGAGGGGGGGCGAGGGCGGTGAGGTTGGGGGGCGAGGGCGGGGGTGAGGGCGAGGGTGAGGGGGGGGGTGAGGGTGAGAGGGTGAGGGTGGGGGTGGGGGCGAGGGTGAGGGTGGGGGTGGGGGTGAGAGGGAGGGCGAGGGTGAGCGGTGAGCGGTGAGGAGGACGAGGCGCCGCCAGAGTGGC